CGAAACAACGCGATTGGTTCTCCCGCGTTCTCTGATCCACCGAGTAGTCCGTGCCCTGTCGGTGTCAGACGCCGACCTCTTGGATTGGGCTGCTCGGCTCGTAGTATAAATGTTCGCCTTGCGGCCGAGCACTTATACCATTCCCCGAGCATTCAATTCGAGGAGGCGTAAAGGGGAAGTATTCACAGCACGAGGGATGGTGTGTCAGATGTGAGATGTCCAGATGAGACTGAAGATCTAGAGCAATCATTGTTAATTCAGGTATAAATATCCCTCAGAAAAATGGACAAAGGAACGCAAAATCAAACCATAGCTCATGGACTAAGAAACATCCCTTTGATCTTACTGACTTAAGCTTCGGAGGGAATTGGCTAGGCTCACGCCTGACCCCCTTTCTTCTAACCCCGTTTTTTCAGGTTTACCAATCAAAGAATCGCTACCTTATGAGATTGCAGGATCTATCCCGTGCAGTTACCAATGTGGGAGTATATAGTTAATTGAAAAATTATGTAGACTTCCTCTCACTTCTATCTATTATTTTTTATACTTTGACATCCACTTTTTTTGTATATATATATATATATATATATATATATATATATATATATATATATATATATATATATATATATATAAATTTGACGTTTTTAGTAACGCTCCCGCTCCATGTGATCTAGGGTATAAAGAGATAACAAATTTTGTGCATGACACAAGATGCTCTCTAGTTTTAGTCTAATGCTAAGAATTGGATATGATCGATTGACTGTCAAACATTATTCTGTTCTGAAGATTTTTTGGATACATTTTTTTTTTTTTTCATTTTGTAGGTGAGGACGAAAATTTTAAAACGGGGAATGTCATTGGTTTTGAGCAAATTTCAAGATCCCGGCACTCGCGTGCAGTGTGCAGCTATTAATGCAATTCGGCAGTTAGCTACGAAGTCTGACTTCTACTTGGAAGACGAATATTCCCTCGTGCTGGATACATTAGCTAAAACAATGAATGACTCCGTCAATCCACGGGTGAAGGTTAGTGGGCTTATATATGTAATCTTACTCTGCAGTTGAACTTCTTTGGGACATGACGCTCACTTCTACTACTCTTTCCAAACAATTAATGGACTTGATTACGGTACCGTTAAAAAATTTTTGATACTATACCTCGAACATTTATTATTTTAAAAAATATTTTTATAATTTTTGAGTGTCTTTTTATAACAAAAAAAATGTATCAATTTTGTGGTTAATTTACCACTTTTGTGAATATTTTTATTACTATTGTGGGTGTTTTATTATATTTGTTGCAAATATTTCTCACTTTTCTTAAGTACAAAAAAATTTATCACTTTTATATGTGATTTATTACATTTGTGAATGTTTTTAGCACTGTTATGGTAGTTATTTTTACCATTTTTGGGATACCACAACAGTGATAAAAGTACTCACAAATGTGATAAAAATTACCACAAATATGAAAATTTTCGATATGGTACCGAAAAGCTCTTTGGTGGTACCGTAGCCAACTCCAACATTTATAAGAACATCCACATTTTAGTTGTTTTCTTTTAATAAAAAAGAGAAGCATTTTCCTTCTTCCTATTGGGAGGATGTATTATATACCCAAAATACTTACTGAGAATTTTGATTTAAATTATGTAATTAAGAATAAAATAGTAATCCATAAAATTGACCCAATTGCTAACACATGAACGGTTAAAGAATTTAATCAAGGTTAGTGTTCGACCCTATGCCTTTAAAACTTATTTTACCTTCCCTACGGTGATTATGAGTTTTTTAGCATTTATCTCCCAAGATACAATTATAACACAACATACAAGAAATTGTATTTCGTGCTCTCATAAATGGACACTTCTAATGACATAAATAATGCATGTTAACAACTTTGGTAATCACCAACTTTGTGTGTGTGTTTTGTTGGTGCATAATGCTAATAAATCTGGGTTATTTATAAATGTAGATGTACTATTCGGAACAATCATCAGTGGTCAAATACAACCCAGAAGACACCATTTATGTATGTCCATTCATGAACATAAATAAAATTCAAATTCAAAATTGGTGGAAAATTCAAACTCGAACCAGTGATTATTTGAATTCCAACAAGCAACAATTAAAACTCAAAAATTAAGGACTCATTTAACAAAATGAATTTATTCAAAAAGATAAGATTTAGACCCACACCTGAGCCAAAGCCTGAGGCCGGTCGGACGGGGATGTGCATTTATGGTTGAACCCAAACCCATTTAGGTTCTTTGTCGTCCACAAAAATGGAGTGCCCTTTAAGCCCAACCCAAAGTGAAAACTTGGGTCATATATGCTCTCCAAAGTTTCTTTGTCCAACGAATGTGAGATTAATGTCAAATTTTACATTGTCTCAACTTTTATTTTACATTTTAAGAGGGTTATTTTAGAGTTTATTTTTTTATTCATTTCTTACTTGATTTAACCAAGTGAATATATATTCTGCTCATGCAGTAGAATACGAACTCACAAAAAATTATTCCAAACAACGAGTGGGTTCTATTTTAATTTAGGCTCAAAATCTACTAAAAATCAATTTTTGTCCTACACTTCCTGAGCTATTTTTCCTAAATACGAAGGAATACAATTTTATTCATGAAGGACAATTTGTCTATCTCTTGGATGAGTACCATTCAGTTGTCCTTATGCAGATTATAATCTACCAGTGTGATGAAGAAGAGATCACTGGATGATGGTGTTTATTTTTATTGTTTTAAATCATTATTTATTCTAAAAGTTCAAATTATTAGGAAGTGTGTAACTTAAGTATTTAGCTTTTTACATAACTCCTAAGCTAGATTTTATGTCTAGTACATGAAAATCTTTTTATGATCAGGTTGCAACGAGATGTTAACACTGGACCTCTACTTTGATACTATATTAAGCAACTATATATTCTAAAAGTTTAAACTATTAGAGAATGTGTAACTTACAAATTTGTCCTTTAATATTACATATTACAAGTTTAAGAGGTTTGTTACTTGTTGAGTGAGGGTCATGTAGTTTAATTGTGCAAGCATTATATGCATGTCATGACTGCAAATGTCTATACCTATTGATAAGCTCATTCATATTTCATGAATGTTTTGGAGGCATTTGTTCCTTTATCCCTTCTTTCTTCTACTGCTCCCTTTTTGTTATGGGATCTATTTTTACATCACATTCTTGAATTTGTTGATGTTGCATTTGAAATATAGTAAAATTACTTATTGAAATATCTGATTTATATCATGCAACTTAAAATAAACAATAATAATGAAAAACGAAACAGTTACACTAATATGCACGAAACAATCATGTACGAAATAGTTACACATAAATTTGTAATCAAACCAATATATAAACTAATCCGTTTGCAGATCATGAATTGTTATTGAACTTTCTGTAGATCAAGATTAGTGTTTTCAAAATAAATTTCGCCCCTACACTTGGTGCTTATGAAAATCAAAAATTACACTTGTCCTACTTTTAATTTGAAATTGTTTTTTTTTAAATTTGAGTTTGTCTATCTATATAATAAAGTAGCTCAAATATCAAAAGATAAACAAAATAAATTTTGTTATTCACGGTTGAGATCACTTTAAATTTTACTTTAAAGTTAATCTAACGGTTAATATTAACACCCAAAATTTAATAAGAAAAATAGACCGCTATGAGTGTGTTTGGAGTGACTTTTCAAAAATACTTTTACAAATTATTTATCATAAATAATTTTTTTTAAAAATAGTGTTTGAAACCGCTTCACTACTACCTCTACCACTACCACCGCTACCCCATCGTCATCATTGCCCCAGTCACCACAACCACCACCACCATCGCTATCGCCACCACCATCGCCACTATCACTACGGTCATTGACACCCCACCACAACCATCATCATCTCCTACCACTATCACTGCCGCCCACCACCTCTCACCCCCACTACAAAAATCGATGTTTAAATTCTTTTATCTATTTTTTATGTTTGTGATTTGTTTATGAATATGAATACAAATATGTTTATTGTTTATCATTTTTTATTACTTTATACCTTCACATACAGACAATAACTAGTTGTTTTATATAAAATCAATCGTTTTACCTAAATATTTGGTTGAATCAAACTTAAAGATGGTCTAATGCAATCAACAGAGGAAGCGTATAAATAAGTTGGGAAGGAAAGTTGTATAGAGAAATAATAATAAAATTAAAAGAAGTAAGGCGGTATTGGAGTTGTTAGAGAGGAGAGACTAGAAAATGAGAGGGAAACAAATGACAAAATCTAAGATGTAATCAATGTTGTGTAAGTATAAACATTAGAAATTTTTTATAATTTTTTTTGAGGAAATTCGTTGATGTGAGAAGTAAATGCCGGCTGGATGATTTATTTTATTTTATTTTATTAATAAAGTAGCTATCTTGTATTACCCAAAATTATAATTTAAGTTTCATGATTGCAAAATGGTTTAAATAATAAATCTGAATTATGTTTGGTTTAATCATCAGCCTTTAAGTCAGGGGAATACGTTAAACCTCCTCTTCCAAGGCGTCTTCCCCTCCATCCTCTTCTATCTCCCTCCCTAAGGTAAACCTTTCTTCCACTGTCAGCTGAGCCAGACAGAGCAAGCGCCTCATCTGGCATGTCTGCCCTCTCTCCTATCCAAAATTCCAACTCAGCCATGGTGAGACTTTCAATGCTAGAAAAGAATAAGAAAGCCGAAGCCATCTGCGAATCCGAAAAAACCGACGAGTTGAAAGAGCTAATCGCGGACTTTATGTCCGATTTCAACGACACACGCTGCGACGCCAAGTGGATTTTCGAAATCTGCACATATAAAACCAAGCCACATCTCTTCGCTAACAAGCTTTGTGACGTGCTCTCCTCCAACCCAGATCTTAACTCACGTACCATTTCCGCCAGTCTCCTTCGCAAGTCACTCTTCAATAAATCTTACCCCTTTCACTCTTTTCCTGTTGAAATGCAATTGACTCTAAAACGCGATCTCTTGAAATTAGTTGACACACCTGCAAGACTAATCAATAAAGAACTCTGCCACACCGTATCAGCGCTTGCAGCTTCTCTTTTATCTAAACAAGAATGGCCCGAATTCTTATCCTTTTTATTTGAACTTGTAGAATCCGATAAAAAAGAGTGCGTTGTTAATTGTTGCTTATTTAGCACAGTATCTAGGGAAGGGACTGAATAAGTTGCATTTGGATAAGAGGTTGCATTCATTCAATTTTACTGGAGTGTTGGAAAACAACGACAGAGGAGGATGTGCGTATTGCAGCGTTTGGGGCCGCGATTAATTTCATTATGTGTTTAGAACAAAAAGATTTGGTCAATTTTCAGGATTTGTTGGCAGCGATGATATCTACGTTGAAGAATGCGTTGTGTAGTGGGAATGAGACGATGGCCGACGCTGTTAACACGTTGAAGTTATTGATAGATTTGGCAGGAATGAAGCTGACGTATTGGAGGAAACAAATTGGGGAGATGGTGAATACAATATGGCTGATGGCCGATGATCATAGTTTGAAGAAAGAGACGAGGCGTTTGGCCATTGAATTCGTTTTGACATTGGTCCAGTTCGTTTTGACATTGGCCGAGGCTGAGAAAACGAATCCCAGGCAGCTGAAACTTGGGACGGAGTTTGAAATTAATATGGAGGAGCCGTGGGACGATAATAAGGAGACGGATAACTATGGGTCTTGGCAGGGGTGTGTGGATAGGCTGTCGATTTTGTCGCATATGATTGAGAATGGTATTTTGACTGTTGCTTTGGAAGTGTTACCGGGGTATTTGGTTGCTCCTGAGTGGCAAAAGGAGCATGCGGGCGGCATTCATTGTGCTCAGAAGGAGTATAGAGAGAGGCCGCCGTGAGGTATCAGAGCTTTGCTTTTTATTTATTTATTTTTTTACATTTAATTATTTAAAATTTAAATAAATATCATTTTATCACATTAAAGTAATTGTTCAATAATATCAAGGTTAGGGAGGATTTGGTGATATGGTAACGATAAAAAAGAAGAAAACAAATTTGGCGAATGGCACGGGGTGCGAGTTAGTTTTAGTTTAATGCTAAGGTATGTTTTAAAGATTTTTTGTTTATATATTTATTTTTTTTTCATTTTATGGACACAGGTGACGATAGAAAATTTGAAAAAAGTAGTGCCAATGGTTTTGAGCCCATTTCCAAATGACCACCGTCGCGTGTGGCGTACAGCTATTGGAGCAATTCAGTCGTTAGCTCTGCATTTATTACGCTTTTGCTTGCATGACGAGGTTAGTAGATTTATTTATGTACTTTATAAGTGCGTTCAAATTTTATTTGTTTTCTTTTAACAGAAAAGAGAAGCATTTTCCTTTTGTTTTAATTAATAATGCACCATTCGCATGGCACGTGCATATTTTTCATATATAAAAATTAATAAAAAATATTATGTACATGTTTACTTGATTAAATATTAAATAAAGTTTGTCAAAATTATTTTTTTTTTCACTCATGCTTTATTATAGAATTATGATAAATTTGTATGTTCTTAAGGTTCGCTACTCTACCTATAAGAAAATGGATTTAAAAAATGATTAAATTTTTATTTTTTCTCGAATTTTGTGATTGAGATTGATTTATTAGTGATGTTTAAAAAATTAAGTTTTTTTAAATTCATTTGATTAAAATTCCATCTATTATTCATTGGATAAAATAAAATTAATTATCAATATACTAATCATATTGGAACCTTACTATAATTAATAATTAATTAGGTCAATTGAGACAATATTTAATATACTACTTTATAGCATATATTATAAAACATATTAAAATTCTAAACAATTCAAGTTTTACTTAAAAATACACTATAATCTATTTTCACATCAAATATTAATACAACTTTCAAAGTTTACAATGACTGAAGACTTACGTTGATGTAACGTAAATTGATTTAAAAAAATTATATATATTATCTTAATACTTAAAGGATTAAACTTTTTAATGAAAATACATATATGTAGGCATATTGTTATCTATACATATGAGATGAGTAATGTTAAATTGATAGAGTTTTTAAAAGTATTTTAAAATTTTTATTGAAAATTATAATAATTCATATATTTTTTAAGAATAATAAAGTCAACAAAAAGTTTCATAAAAACTAATATTTATACATAGAGAATAGATAATTAAAAGAGGATAGAGATATGTTAAAGGTAATTTGAAGATTAAAATACATAAAGATATGATAGTAATTTAGATATTTAACTGTGTAAGGATAGATATTTTAAATTTATATTGGTATCATTAATAAAATGCTATATAATTTTTAAAAACTATAAAAAAAATAAATCTATAAAAATTAAAAAAATAATTCACATTTTAATTTAGAAAGACAATGCTGGCTTAATGTCTTTCTTTAGGATAATAAAATGGTTAATTTTTTTTAATCTTGACATTTACAAGTCTTTATTTTATATTTTTATTGTATGTAAAATGATAATATATTAGCTTAAATATAGAGAGAGAGAGAGAGAGAGAGAGAGAAAGATAAATTAAGGCATATTTATGTCATCAAAGTTTCTTACACGTGAACTATTATAAATTATAATGTTTAATTTTATTTTTTATCCATGCTACAACTATTTAAAAAACATAAGATTATATCCCATATATATTAATTAATAGTTTATGCGTGTAGTGGAGGTTTGACCAAATATAATTATATGATTATCATGACGCAAAAAATTAATATGAATAAATAATGATTTATAGATGTAAAAATATTCAATATATTTGAAAAGGTGCAGACCACTCGGATTTCATTGGGTTGAGGACACAAAAACATAAGTTTGTTTACCATCAAACAACATTATCATAAAAAAATAGTGTCAATATACATTTTTATTCTATTTTGTGTTGATAAAATAAACCATTTCAAAAAAAAAAAAAAAAAATTTAAGGCTCGAAACAACCCCAATCGATAAACAAGATAGTCCTAGATGTCCCAAGTTTCTACATTGAGGTCTAAAATGCAGAAGCAGCATAATGTCTTCTTGCTCCTAACCCATGATTAAAAGTACACATCAAAATATGTAAGGAACTAATGCTAAAAATTAGCACGATTGTCTGCCAAGCGCAGAGTGAGATCTCCTCTAATATTATTTTTGTTTATGGATCACCTATCATGTGTTTAAGTAATACCCATGTAGTGAAAGTAACAACTGTCGTTGTCGTGCTCGAGTGGTTAATATCTGTAAAATAAAGTGCAAATATGAAGTTAGAAGGAATACATCACAGAAATTAACACTTAAGAGAACGAATTCATTGGGTACAATATAAGGGCAACAAGAAGCATAATCTTGTTCTTAAACAATTAACTACAAAACAAGAGTTTTCTGAACAAATTTGGCTACTCTTACACTTTAAACAGTATGTATGTATATGTGTGTGTGTGTGTGTCTATAGAAAGTATATACATTCTGCAAGCTAACTCAAACTATCCTCCTTGAAAAGCCATACTTAGAACCCCGACCCCAATCGAACGGCTCTCGCCAAACTCCACCCGTAGCTTATCCTTTTCCAACTCTTCCAACAGCGGCATTGTCTAGTTCGCTTGCTGTGAATTGGGCCAGCTGTCCCCCTAACAAGCTCAAGGTTTTTCTTTCTAATGACTATAATCATCACTTTCCTACTTAAATGAAATCACAGTTTACTTTTTGATCAAAAAAAAAAAACTCTTCCAACAATTTAACTTCCAATGCTTTACGAAATATGTCAAATGGGTGTCTGTAGGTGATCAGTTGATTCTTTATGGGCTCTAAAATTGAACTTGGAATCAGCAGAGAGTTCGGTGTGGGGAAGTGTATCAGGTGAGGTTTTTCAACTGAGACCCATGACTTCCGTACTCAGTCTATTAATACTCCTTCAAAATTCTAAATCCATTATTAAATGGAGAGACTGCTAAAGAACCCCAAACTACCACAATTATTTTCCATGAAAGATGGAAGAAGAGAAGTCGTTAAACGGAGAGACTCTTAAGAACCCACAAAAAACTGCAGTTATACCTTCATTAAAGAAAGAAAGTTGTTAAACGCAAATACCATTAAATACCCATAAAATGTGAATAAATATAGAATAAGAAAAGATGATACTTGAAAGAGAAAATGGGATAAAATGGACCATATGTAAGTGATTAGGGTTAAAACAGGTAATTAAATTTTTTTTCTCAGTAGCTGTTTTTTATTAGTAGTATAGATATAGATGAATTCCATTTTAACACATTAATAGGTATTTGTCTAGTAATGTTAGAGTGAACCAAAATTTTATTTTGAGGGGCCCAACAATGACATAGATGATAAATTTTTATTTATAAAGAACCTATTAAATTTAATTTTTATGTAATGTCATTGAAAAAATTAATTTTGAGCACAAAACTCAAAAATTGGATAATGACATCATAAAAATTCAGTTGTGACAATATTTTCATCCCCTATTTTTCTTGTTTATGATCTAATTTTATGTCTATAAATAAATTATGTTGTTCTCTGACCTTATCTGTTCATGGGAATTAGCCAAAGGAGATTTCTTGATCAATGATGAGGCTTTGGCACAGTTGTCACGCAGAAGACCACACCAATTCATCCCTAACTTGGTGGTTAAACTCTTATGCGGTGACGAAACTGTAAGGGAGGTTCTGCGGAAAAATAGCTCGACATGGTCGCAAAAAAATCACTTATTTTTTTCTCCAAGGTCATCAAAATTATCCAACAAGTATCTTTGTTAGTGCAAACGATACTCATTCATGTGATTACATCTTAAATTGTTACTAAATTCATTGATTTTTTTGAATACATTAAGTGAGATACTTAAACATTGGGTGTTTTGAAAAGCTGGAGGTCACCAATATTTTTTTTGAAAATATAGGGGGAACAATGGTAATTTTTAGAATTTGAGGAGGGGCCACTGTTCTGTCCCTGATTAGAGCTAGGGAGGATTTGATGGTAAGCGGATGGAAAGAAGAAATAAAAAATCCATGCATGACAAGGGCTGCTCACTAGTTTTAGTCTAATGCTGAGAATTGAATATGATCGATTGATTGTCAAATATCATTGGTTTAGAGATTTTTCTGATACATTTTTTTATTTTTTATTTTGTGGACACAGGTGATGAGAACAAATTTCGAACAAGTAATGTTGACACTTTTGAGCTTATTTCAAAATGTTGACCCTGTCGTGCAAAATGAATCTATTCGTGCAATGTGGGCTTTGGTTCTGACTTCTGGCAGATGCTTACAACCCGGATGTCACCTCATGCTTCCTGCATTAGCTAAAGTGATGAATGACTCCCCAAATCAAGAAATGCGGGTTAGTGGGCTTATTGATGTACTTTTACTCTACATTTGAACTTGTTTGGGACATGACACTCAATCTTGCTAACCTTTTCAACGAATTAATGGACTCTAAACATTTATGAGGGCATCCACACTTTAGTTGTTTCTTTTAACATAAATGGGAAGCATTTTCCTTTTTTCTGTTGGGAGGATGTGTCATGTATGCAAAATACTTATTTATATTTTTGATTTAAATCGTGCAATTAAGAGTAAAACAGTAACACATAAAATTGATCCAATTGCATATTGGACCAATTTAAGAATTTGATCAAAATTAGTGTTTGACATTATATCCTTAAGACAGATTCATCTCCACTGTGGTGATTGTGGGTTCTTTAACACCTCCCTCTCGAGTTACAATGATCACACATATAGAAACACTGCAATCTGTATGTACAATGAACCAAAAATTATATTTTGTACTCTTAGAAATGGACACTACATTTTGATGAGCCCAAATCCAATTAAGTCTAGGCCCAGGACACGGGTGAGGCC